TCCCTTCCAACCCAAAGCATTCTATGATTCTATGATCTTCCCCTGAACAGGTGATGGCTTACAGCGGTCATAGTGCTCAGAGCAATGGCTTCCTCCAGACAGCAGGAAAAGGAGCTGCTCCTACAGCCCACCGAGGGGTAAGTGCACATAAGGGACATTTTCCCAGCCAGATGCAGATGAAGACTCCAGATATCCTGGAAGCTATTATCTTGTTACGAGATACTTCCCCTTTCTAAGACCCGTGGCTTTAGATGGGAAGAAAGCAGCCTGGAGTTAGTCTGACGGACTTGTGGTCTCTTGGGCAGACAAATGACTTGCAGCTGGTTCGTGATGCCCTTCGCAGCCTCAGGAACAGTTTCAGTGGTCACGATCCACAGCACCACACCATTGACAGCCTGGAGCAGGGCATCTCCAGCCTAATGGAACGGCTGTACCGCATGGAAACACAGAAGAGGCAAGAGAGATGGGTAAAGGCTTCCTAGGGCACTTGGCTCTTAACTTCTGCCCCTCACACACAATCCAGAGCTAGAACAACAATGAGAGCTCCAACTGGGAAGTGACACCTTGTTCTCACTCTTTTGGCTTTGCACCCTAGATCCGGGGAAAATCACCAGCAAGCAGAGCAACAAATGAGTGTAGAGACTCCTGGCCTCCCAAATTCAGTAAGTGCCTTTCAGCTCCTGCCCTCCCACTGCCAAATTCATTGCTCGGGTTTCCTGGCCAGAGTCCAGAGCATAGCATCCCCTTGGGAATCTGCCATCTCCAGCTTCTTATTCCCTTTATCAGACCTCACTTTCCTCCCTTTGGTCATTTGCTGTACAGATTAGACTTCACTGCAAAGGAAATGGGGCAGAGACAATCTATGGCTGCTTGTTTGAAAAGCACCATCACAGTTGGAGTCTGTCTGGGCCACTTCGGTAGTACTGCAGTATAAATAATTACGACAAACAATTACCCATGGGATGAGTGGGAACTGTGATGTTATTTCAGCTTTCCTACTGGTTTGCACCATCTAGTGGACACAGATAACTGCACAGTTGCTTCTTTCCCTGTTCCCCCCTCAGTGTCTAGCTCCTTTCACGTATGCGTAACAGCACAGCCCTTTCTGACACCATGTTTCCTGGCTCCAGCTGCACCAGCTCCACATTTGCTTTTCATCATGAAGGCTGTTTTTTCCAATGTTAGTTGTAAATGTCACCGAGAAAGTCTGTGAGGTTGTAGGGGACTGTAGGTACTGGGGAAAGGCAGAGGGGCCCCCCCCCACCTTTCAGCTGCATTGTAGTGTCCAGCAGCAGGGTAGCCTGGAAGTACAAGATGTGGAGGAAGGTAGGAGAGGAACTCAGATGCCTGAAGTGGGTTGTGGGGAGGATTTGCTGGGTTCTTCCTCCTCTCCCATAAACTGCAGTTTTTAGAGCAGCCACAGTCGTGTGTTCTCTGCATGCAAACTGTACCTCTCCCTTTGGCAGACTCCATACTCCTCCACTGCAGCAGGAAAATTGAGTTGTGCAGCCACACCTGTAGAATGCCTTGGGTGTAAAGAGCTCTGAGAGGTGGCTCCAAAGACTTGTTAAATTAGAAAGCCTTTGAATGGGTGTCCATAATGTTTTCTGCATGCTAGGAATCTTAAAACTGTAGACTCACTCTGTGTGAACCTTCCTCTGCTTCAGCTTTTGGCAAAGCATATTGCAGGGAAGCAGGAAGCAAGGCAGTAGCCAGAGAGAGGGAGAGAAACACAAACGAGCAAAGAAAAATCCATGCACAAACACCCATCCCGGCCAACTAGAATGGGAAGGTGGGGAGGAGACAGATAACCTTTTGCCTTGATGTTGATCAGTCACTTCATCCTGTTCTACCCACCTGCAAGTGAAGGCAAGTGATAAAGTAGCTGTACTGGATGGGGTACTGTTCAGTCATTTTCTCTTTTCTTTGCAGAACTGCCTCATTCTCACAGCACACCCGTGATGAACACCAGTGCCTGCACCAAAGTGTTGTACTTCACTGACCGCTCCCTCACACCTTTCATGGTCAACATACCAAAGAGGTGAGGTCTGGCCTTGCCTTGCTGACACTGATGTGGGAGGTGCTTGTTTCCCTAAATGCATTAGTCTGATCTCTTCTGGGTATGGTCACCACTAGCACAGGTTCATGGTACATTAACTTGGGCATTGGATTTCATACCATTTCATACCAGGGTGCCACATGCCTAGACTTGTGCTGTGGCTCTGCATGCCATGTAGTAACATGAGCTAAATCTGGTAACGGTGTACCATGAAACAGTGCCAAACTCTCCCCTTGCAGGTTAGGGGAAGTGACTCTGAAGGATTTTAAGGTAGCTATTGACCGTGAAGGAACCCACCGGTACCACTTCAAAGCCCTGGATCCGGAGTTTGGCACAGTGAAGGAGGAGGTAAGTGTGGAATTTAGCTATCAGCCGCTTTGGGTTCAGTGTTACCACACAACCCTGGAGACTGTGGTCACCTCACTTCCAAACTAATGAAATCTTTGAACTTGCCCCCGAAAAGACTCTCTATTTTCACAGCTGTAGATTAAGCTCCTCTTGTAAGGTGCTAAAATGGGATGTTTTCATCCCCAGCCAGAGCAATTACATGAATGTGATTGCACACGCCTGGGGGTTGCAGAGCCCCTTGGGCAAAGAGCTGGCTGTTGGCAAAGACAGTCTGTGACACGGTATTGCTCAGGGTCACTGGGCAAAAAGCCAGACTACACTTCTAGCCCTTCAGGTGGCTTTATAAAACCTGTTGCAATGAGAGACACTTTAGGCAAACATGGTTTATTCAAAAAACATTCTCCTACTTTCCTTTAAAGGTTTTTCAGAGAGAACTCTGTGTGTGGCATCTTGTCCTTTGTGTACTGCATTACAGCCCTGTTTATGTTGGTGTGGATTGGAATCATTAAAGGTTATTGGGATAGTTCCTGTTTCACAGATGAAGACAAGCGCAAAGGGTTACCCTCTCTGGGAACAGTCAGCTGACTAGGTAGCCATTCTGCAGAAACAGCTGGAGATTGTAGTCTGGATCAGAAAAGGCATGTTTCCTGTCTATTTTACCTTTCCTGTCAAAAACATGCCAATAATAATTTTGACAGTTACTGGTTAAAGAAGGGGCCTAATCTATTTTTTACCTAGAACCTGAAAAGATTACTCAGACGTGTGAATGATGGATGAGGTACATGTCCTCTGGGCTGTGTAGTGAAATCTGAGCTAGGATCTCTGAGTTGAGGCCTGCCTCTTATGCCACTCACACTGCAGAAGAGTGGTGTCCAGACTCCAGACATGACTGGACTCCCTTTTTTTTGTAGGTATTCCATGATGATGACATCATTCCTGGTTGGGAGGGGAAAATTGTGGCCTGGGTGGAAGAAGACCATGGGGAGAATTAATCAAGCTTTTAAGTCTTGTCGCTATGGAAACCTGTAACTGGCTGCTGAGCTCAAAGAATGACCAAAAAGCATGTGTGCTGGAAGGAGTCCAATTCAAGCTGCCAAAAAAGAGGGTTTCTCTGCAAACAACGGGTAATGCATGTTGTGTGCATGGACGCCTGGCATCTGACTTTCCATGGCCAAATGCAGACAGTGTTCTGAGACTGAAATGTCAGGTCTGGGAAAGAAACACCTTGCTTTGTCCTGTCAGCTAAGCCCTGAAGGCCTTAATGATGCATTGCTCCTTTCCCCTGCTTCTCCATTCCTGCAATATGTGCTGCAGACTGTGATCTGGGGATTTCAAGTCTGGTTTCTTGTACATGGTATTCTATAAATCTGCACTGATGGCAAAAATGTGAAGCTTTGTCTTCATGAGTCAGAAGAAGCCACTAGATAAGTGAGCCGAAGGTTTGACCGCTTTGGTCCTGGACTTATATGTGCTGCAGGAGCAGAGTGAACCTTTTGGACATTCCAGAATGACAGTATAGAAGCCTGACCTGGGGATGGAAGACGACTGTCTGGAGGTTTTATGCATGGTCTAAAGCAAAGATCACCAGCTTGGCAAAGCTCCCTTTTTCCCAAACTAATTTCCTAGCCCCACTTCTCCCACTTGCTCTCCAAAGTTGTACTCACTTCTGAGGCCCTCTGGATTTGCTTTGTTGCTGTGGGGACTGTGGGATCTTGGTGCTTGCTTATTTGCTGAAGGATTTCATTTGTGGGGGAGCTGGAATCAGCTGCTTCCCTGAGGTACTTACAACCCCTCTC